TGACAGAACTAAGTCGTCATGGCAGGAGGTGACCAGTGGTGCCCCTCAGGGCTCAGTACTCAGACTAGTCATTTTCAACATGTTCATCAATTATTTGGATTTGGGTATTAAACCAGAAACATTCACTTACAACACCAAACTATGGGGGAGCATGGTCATGCGTCAGGATAGTCTGGCAATACAGGCTGACCTGGATAGGCTTGAGAGGTGGGCAATTTCAACCTGATGTCATTTAACACAGAGAAATGTAAAGTGCTCTATCTAGGGAGGAATAATCCACAACACACTTAGAAGGTCAGCATTGCTATGCTTGCCAGCACCACAATTGAATGACACCTGGTTGTCATGATAGACAACAAAATGAACATGAGCCACCAATGCAATGCTGTAGATGGCAAAGTGAATCAAACACTGGCATGCATCTACCAAGGCATCTCGAGCAAGGCTAAGGATGTCATGCTCCCATTCTACTCTGCCTTGGTGAGCCAACAGCTAGAGTACTGTGTCTAGTTCTGCGTGCCACACTTCAGCAACGATGTGGAGAAGCCTGAGAAAGTCCAAAGGAGGGCCATGCATATGAGTAGAGGCCTAGAGACCAGGTCGTATGAGGAGAGGCTGAAAGACTTGGGACTGTACAGCCTGGAGAAGGGAAGACTCAGAGGGGACTTGGTGGCAGCCTATAAGTATATCAGGGGAATACATCAGGGCCTGGGGGACCAACTATTCACCAAGGCCCCTCAGGGGAGGACAAGAAATAATGGGCACAAAGTGATTGAAGATTGCTTCAAACTAGACATAAGGAAAAACTTCTTTACAAGTCAGGTATCCCGGGTTTGGAATAGGCTCCCCACAGAGGTGGTACAGTTACCCACCCTGGAAATCTTCAAAAAGCATCCTGATGCCTACCTTGCTGGAGTCATCTGACCCCAGCAGTCTTTCCTGCCCAAGTGAAGGGGGACTGGACCTGATGATCTGTAAGGTCCCTTCCAGCCCCCAACATGTATGAAATATCTATGAAACTATTCAATTTACTACCTCTTTATTTCTTTTTAAAATTCTTCTTTTTTTCCTTGTTTTTATTTTATTTTATTTTATCCTTTAGTGTTGACTTCCTTCATTTCACATCCTCCCACACCTCCATTTCCTTTCTACCTATCATTTCATTACCTACCCCCATCCCATTAACTCTCTGCCTCCCAGCTTCATCTTCCTGCCTCCCCCCCAACCCATCTCTTATACACCTCCACCTAGAGCAGGGATAGAAGCCTATCCTGGCTTACCAGCCCTTTAGTGGCAATTCAGAGCTGTAGCTCCTAATATGGCCCCTACTTATCAGCCCTCTAGTGGCAAGTCACAGTTGAGTAGGTCAAGGACATTCAGAAAAGGTTAGTTTAACATTTAGAAACTGTTGTGGGAACCGTCGATCCTCCTGGATCACGGTGTATAGTCTTAACATATAACTGCTCCAAACTCAAGCTAGCATTAATGCCAATGAGCATTTTTTTTTTTTCATAGTTTTAGGGTTGGAAGGGACCTAATAGATCTTCTAGCCCGACCCCCCGCCAGGGCGGGAGAACAACCCAAAAACACAAACAAAACCACTCACCCTAAAAACAAAAACGGGACTCAAATGAGTCCAGCCAGGTAAGTATCCAGCCTCTTCTTAAAGATCCCCAGGGTAGGGGCCAGCACCACCTCCCTTGGAAGTTGGTTCCAGCTCCTAGCCGCCCTAACTGTGAAGTAGTTTTTTCGGATGTCCAATCTGTACCTCCTCTCCATCAACTTGTGCCCATTACTCCTTGTTATGCCAGCGGGGGCTAGGGGAAACAGCGTCTCCCCCAAACCCTTCTGGTTCCCCCTAGTGAGTTTATAGACGGTCACCAGGTCCCCCCTCAGCCTTCTCTTGTGGAGGCTGAATAGGTTCAAGTCCCGCAGTCTCTCACTGTAGGGTCTGCCCTGTTGTCCCCGGATCATGCGGGTGGCCCTCCTCTGGACCCTCTCCATGTTGTCCACATCCCTCCTGAAATGGGGCGCACAGAACTGGACACAATACTCCAGCTGCGGCCTGACCAGCGTCGCATAGAGGGGGAGGATCACCTCCCTGGCTCTACTCGAGATGCACCTGTGGATGCACGACAAGGTCCGGTTAGCCCTGCCAACCATGACCTCGCATTGTCGGCCCATGTTCATCTTGGAGTCAATAATGACACCAAGATCCCTTTCCGCCTCCGTGCTCTCAAGTAGGGAGTTCCCCATCGTATAAGTGTGCTGCTGGTTCCTACTACCCAAGTGCAGCACCCTGCACTTGTCCGTATTGAAACGCATCCTGTTCCTGTCTGCCCACCCCTGTAACCTATCCAGATCCTTCTGCAATCTCTCTCTCCCTGCTAGCGTGCTCACCTCCCCCCAAATTTTGGTGTCATCAGCGAATTTAAACAGGTTGCTCTCCACCCCAACATCAAGATCGCTGATGAAGACATTGAACAGCGCAGGGCCCAGGACCGAGCCCTGAGGGACTCCACTACCCACCTCCCCCCAAGTCGAGTATGATCCATCCACCACCACCCTCTGAGTGCGACCCTTCAGCCAATCTGCAATCCATCTGACCGTGTAGGCGTCTATGCCACAGTCGCCTAGTTTATTAATTAGGATGGGGTGAGAGACGGTGTCAAAGGCCTTGCTGAAGTCCAGAAAGACTACATCCACCGCGACACCTGCATCCATGGCCTTTGTGACCTGATCATAAAAGGCAATCAGGTTGGTCTGACATGATCTCCCCCTAATAAATCCATGCTGATTGCCCCTGAGCATCATCTCGGATGCCGGCCCATCACAAATGTGCTCCTTGATGATCTTCTCAAAGAGCTTCCCCAGGATTGAGGTAAGACTGACGGGCCTATAATTGCCCGGGTCCTCCCTTTTCCCTTTTTTGAAGATGGGGACCACATTAGCTACCTTCCAATCGTCTGGCACCTGGCCCAAGCACCACGATCGCTCGTAGAGCCGTGCCAGGGGCCCTGCAATAACCCCAGCCAGCTCCCTCAGCACCCTGGGGTGGAGAGCATCCGGACCCGCTGACTTGAACGCGTCCAGCCCCTCCAGAAGCTCTCTAACCCGGTCCTCCCCAACCTGAGGTCTGAAGGCGATCCCCTCGCGTCCGGCTTCTATCACAGCAGGGAAGTCCCGGTCCCTGCACAAGAAAACGGAGGTGAAGAATTGGTTAAAGAGGTCCGCTTTATCCTCTGACGCAACCACCAGATCGAAGGTCCAATACTCCTGTATAAAAGATGCTTAGAATTAAGAATCTGTGTGCTTGTTACGTGAAATTATTCTGCTTGCACCTTGTATTGCTAGCAATAAATCTTCTTTATACTTTCACCCCTGGTATCTTTATTGGCCTTTGCATACCGGGCACGATCCCAGACTTGAACTGGGGCTCAACAAGGCCATTCTATCCAGCCTGCGGGGCCCCTAAAAAATTTAGAAAATTAATATTTACCTGCCCTGGGCTGCCTGTCATGCGGCCCTTGATGGCTTGCCAAAACTCAGTAAGCGACCCTCTGCCCAAAATAATTGCCCACCCCTGGTCTAGAGGAAAAGGCAGTGGCGACATGTAGGAGGTGCATGGAGGTGCACACGCACCCCCTGAGAGTGCCAGTGCACCCCTGATCAGCCACGCTTGCTGCTTAGGCGATGGGCAGGTGGGAGCACCAGTGCCTCCCCTGCAAGTGCCGGCCGATCAA